CTCCACATTCGTCAAATCCTAGGTTTTTAGGTCTTTCTTGTCTTCACAGATTGACGCGGCTCAATCTTCCTCGAAGCGCTTTATTTATTTATTAATTCATCCTCTTTCTCACAGATTCATGCTCAATCGTCATCAAGCTCCTACCTTTTTATGAGTCAATTTTTGTTCTAGATTGATTTTGTTTTTAACAGATTGAAGCTCAATCTTACCTTTTTTTAACGAATCAATCGTTGTTTTCACAGATTGATGCTCAATCTTCGTCAAGCTCTTATTTATTTATTTATTTTTTTTTTATGAATCAGTAGTGCTTGTTCTCACAGATTAATGCTCAATCTTCATCAAGCTCTAACCTTTTTTTTATGAATCAATTTTTGTACTAGATTGATGGCTCAATCTTCATCAAGCTCTCTTTTTTATTAATCAGTACCTGTTTTTAACAGATTGATGCTCAATCATCATCAGTTACCTTTTTTATGAATCAATCGCTTGTTTTCACAGGTTGATGCGTAATCTTCGTCAAGCTGTTTCTTTTTTTATGAATCAATGCTTGTTCTCCCAGATTGATGCTCAATCTTCATCAAACTCTTTCTTTTTTATGAATCCATCCGTGTTCTCACAGATCGATGGCTCAATCTTCATCAATCTCTTTCTTTTTTATGAATCTGATTGATGATTCAATCATCGTTATAGTCAATCATGAAGATCTCGCTAGATCGGAATGTTAATAGTTTGGGTTCACCGATACCAAAAATAGAAAAAGAAAGAAAGATCTACGATCTGTTCTGGTATGGAGAACATCGTAGACGGTGTTCATTTCTTCCGGAAACGAGGTTTAACAATCGAAGTCCAAATGATGATTTCGCAAATGTCGAAAGATCCAAGGAATAAGAAAATCGTTGTGTTAAAAGTGGAAAGTATAAGTGAAAAAGGCGATTCAGACAAGGAAGCTTTTGGATCTGAAAGTTTGATGAAGATTGAGTTGAAAAATCTTCAACCAACATCAGTGAACAAGGTAGATTGCTTCTTCAGTTCCTCGTAATCATTAATTCTCTCATGATTTTTATAGTAACCAAAACCAGAAGTTATGTTTCTGTAAAGTAGGCTTTGAAAGAATAATCTTTCAATGAGATTACATGTCAGTTGTCATCCCAGAAGTAAATGGTTTCAGGTCTTGCATTAATACATCTTAACCACTTAGGAAAACTCAAACTATGCAAAATTTGATAGTGTATGTACTATGTAGGACAAATATATTGGTGTTCTTATGGAAATTGGTTCCCGAAAGTACTATGTTATGCTCTTTAATGTAACAGACTAATAGTTAATGAATAAGTTAGGTGCATGTTAGTTGAACCATATAACTTACATGCCTGTTGCTTATTATATGAGCACCGACTCTATACTCTAGTATTTATGAATCAAATGTAAGAACTTTAAATGCTCACTGTTTCTTGTCAAATTTCTAATATGAGCTCTTTCATTATTAGTCTGTGATGTTTGATCTTTCACTTCGTAAATAAATCGTATAAGTAAATACTAATGTAATCCTCTTGACTTGACCATGGCTGTAAATTTTGCAGGTTGTTCTGTTGGTTGAGGTTTTATGATACAATGAAAGCGAGGACCTTATGAATGCAAAGTGAGAAAGGATTGCTGGCTTTGCAATTGTGTCAATGAGGTATTATTTCTTATGTCTTTTAGTATTATTTGGGTTCTTTGAGAAAAGTCATAATGATGACTACTCATGTGTGACATACACACACTCACACACTCACACAAACATGACTGGTTGCTAGGATTAGGGTATTAATTTGAACATTTTTTATATCTTCACTTTTGTCGCTTTTGATCATAATGGAAATTGGAAGGTCTGATTTCAAAGATTCTTTCCATTAGTTTCTAGATGCACTCTCATTAATAATCTTTATTATTAAGTTTTTAATGTTAATTGTAATAGCATGTATCACATGTCGTACCCTCTTTTGCAATAAAATACGCTATAAATTTGGGGGTTGTTTGGCATTTTTGCTGTATATTTTTAGTAGAAGTTTTGTGCATTAAATGTAGAGTAATTTCAATTTGGAACATTGTTTATTTCTAAAAGTTGTCCCACTAAAACAAGAACACATTTTTTTATGCATTAAATGCCTAAGTTGTAAGTTAACAAGCTAGGTTGTTAAGTTAGACAACCGAGGGATATAATTAAAAATCAATAAACTATAATTAAAAAGTTGAAGGTAAAAAAAAAAACTCATGGTATTTTACGGGAGGCTTGGACAACATGAACTTTGTGGAGTTTGTAAGAAAGGTGGAGACTTAGTGCTGTGTGATGGATGCCCTACGTCATTCCATAAAGGTAAAAAGATTGATATTTATTTATTATAGGTTTATAATGATTAATAAATCTGATTTTTATTCTTTTTGGTGACATAGAATGTGTATATGACACAAGTGCCCCTCAAGAAAAGTGGTTATGCATATATTGTAGAAACTCTATGGAATGTGTGGTTCAACATCTAGGATTTGATACAATTGAGCAGATTGCAAAACGTGGTATTTAGATTGTTTATAATCCTGAAAAATATGATCTTTGTTGCATGTTGTACTTGCAGGTAACCCTAATTCTATAAAATTTGCAACAATTTTATTACACAATTTCAAATCATGTAATCATGTTTGAATAACTTTGGGGTATACAAAGCCTATGATTTCAACACAGTCGGCTTCAGTGATAAGATTGTTCTTGTTTGTGATAAGGTAATTGTAATTGGAGTAATTACATTTTTGGTCCCTGATTTTCTCTAGTTTTTTCGGTCTTGGTCCCTAAAGGTGTAAGGTTGCAATTTTGGTTCTTATATCACTATTTCATGTGATTTTGGTTTCTGGCTTGTCTTAGTTAACAACCTCGCTGTTAATCTTTTTTGAAATAATCATTGTGCTTTGGACTAAATTTTCTCTTGTTTTCTAAAACACCTTGCACTTGGTGTAGATATAATGTTGGCAACTATATTAAGCTTTTAACAAAATAAGCATATGTAGATTTAAAATTTTTAAACCTTAACTAAGAATGAAAAGAAAATCACAACTTTGGTCTTTGTGGTATACTGATTGTTTCAGTTTTGGTTCAAGGTTAAAATGGTCATTTTAAAAAATTCAGTTATGTTGTGTTTTCATTTTTATTAGTTAGATTTTTTCCCAAAGCCATTTTCCATACCTTGTGAGAGGGAATATCATATTGGCTATTTGAGGGAACATAAGAAGATTGATCTGAAGGTGTGTGAATTTGAATTTAGTTATTTACTAAAATTTCCTACTTTTTTTACTTGATTATATATGATTGATTGTTGATGTGTTACAGGAGTTGCCATTTGGCAATTGATTCTGCAGTGTGGACTGTGGAATACTTCATTTGGTTCTAGAGAGATTGGTGGCATGTGGCCCCGTGAAGGTCGTTGATTCTCTTATGGGTTTAATCAGCAATTCCGAGATGAAGTGGATTGTTTTGCATGGGAAAGATGTTTCTGATGAGAACAAAGTGTTGCTTTCACAAGCTGTTGACATCTTTCATGTGAGTATAAACTATAAACTAGAAACTGTTGCTTTTATTATTATTATTATTATTATTATTATTACTCCAACTCTCACTCCTACTCCCACTCCCACTCTCTTACTCTTAGTCTCTTACTATTACTCTTACTAACATTATACACTTTAACAATGTTTTTGCTCAATAATGACATTATAGTCTTATAACTTACTCGTAACATGAAAACAAACATGATAATAGGTTCACAAGAATGTTGGTTGTAGCTTTTGAAATTTGTCTAGTAGTAAAATCCCAAAGGTAGACTACTATTAGTATGATTTAATATGGGAATTCATCATGCTTTATTAAATTAGTATGATTCAATATAGGTTCAATTCAACACAAACTTGTAGTTCATTTTTTGTTCGACAGTTTTGTTTAAACCTTAGTATATTCAACCGATGAGATATCAATAGAATTAAAATACACACATCTATATAAAAATTTTCATAAAACTAGACATAATAAAATTTGTATCTTAAGCATCCTTTCTTCAAGATGAATTATATTTGTACATTCTCTTCATCAAATAGTACCAAAAGAGAACAAATGCCCATTAATGTTTCTTGAAATAAACCTCTTATTTCATTTTGTGGTAAAGTGTTCTCAACAAACATAGACTCATATTTATGTCATTATGTGCCTTAATGATTATTTAGGTTAGCTATTAATCTAGATATAATGAATGTTCCGTATATTCCATTGGGTTTCATGGAACTGGAATCGTCTCTTTGTGCTCTTCTTGGTTTTTAATTGCATTACAAGATCTTCTCTTACGGCTTCAACTTCAACTTCAACATACATATATGAGGTCATCTCAAGGTAATGGTCACAAAGGTCTTTTAGCTGTGTCTCTAATGATGATTTTGTCCTTTCAACCTTAGATTTTATAGGATTTGATGAAAGACTATTACGCCACTCAGATTTTATCCCAGAAAATATATGCAAACTAGTTAAAAAGGGGAGACAATCACACTTGTAGAGTGCATTAAATGAAGAGTTGTATGTTGCGTTTGAGAAGAATGAATTGAATAGCTTCCGAAAAGATAACTATTAATTCAAGTCTCATATGATCCAGCTGTGTCAGGGAAAAGAGTAAAAGAAGCATCTAACTTCTTCATGCTTGTTGCACTTGGCTCGGGGGGTATAGTTCATTGGGACTTAAGGAATAATATAAAAAAATAAGAGGCAAAAATGTTAATATTAAATAAAAATCAATATAGTAAATAAAAATGAAATAGAAGAACTTAGATTCCAAATGAACAAATTCAAACTTGAAAACGATCTTTATGATTCTCAAAGGATGAGAGCCAATGAGAAAAATCTCTGGTACATTAAAGACATGTTCAATAATACAATAGAGTGTCTTTTTTTTTCATAAACTGAAATAAATGATATTTTTTATATATTTTTTCGAAAATGATTTATATTTCATTCCGAATTAAGACATAAGAAACAAAGCATGGGTCTAAATGTCAACACACATTCGTAAGTCATATCTTTTTCGTTACCAAGTCACCTTCAACCTTAGATTTTATAGGATTTGATGAAAGACTATTACGCCACTCAGATTTTATCCCAGAAAATATATGCAAACTAGTTAAAAGCTACAACCATGAAAACTAGTTGTACATAAGTGTAATCCTTATAGCTTTCATCAACTTACTATAATTGTGAAAATCAGTTGACCTTTGACTACTAAAAGTCAAAGGTTGACTAGTTTTGTCAACATACTAACCAATAAGCTCTATACTCAATATTTGCATCAAGAGTCTCATCGAGCAATGCTTCATGCATCTGTATTTTTTCTGCATTATCAATGTCTTCTTGCAAACGAGTCTAACGAACACCCTGAAAAATAGACGATATAAAAAATAACAACAATAAAGATTCATGGTAAAAATACAAGAACACTTGGTTGGTGAGTAAATCAAAATCAATTTTTTGTTTACTTATTTAGCATTTTACTCCCTGATTTTGTTGACAAAAGTCTTAGATCTTCTTCTAAAGCATGAACTTTCTTCAAGAATCCGTCTTTTTCTCCTTCAATTTGTTAACTTGTGAACTGGTATTGGAAATTTGCACTCTTGATTTTTCTAAGCTCGTTTTTTATCTCATAATCAAATGAACGTGATGCTCCTTTATTTGTCTTGTTTGACTAAAACTTGTGTTTAGGTTTTTATGTTCTACCATTTCTAAATGCCAATTGACATTTTTTTGTAAATCATTTACAAATTATGTTGGTATTCTTAGGAAGGGGCGGACAAATCATGTGTCTCGGGATGACACGTGTAACCCCTCGATTTCGTCCAATAAAAGTGTAAAAATTTGTAGATCCTTCACAAATCTATTGGAAATCTGTCACAAAGTCTGATAAGTGTAAATTCAATTTACATTTGTTTAGTGACGGATTTTGTAGTGGAAACTATAGTAGAAATTGAGGTTTTTTTCCGTAGTAAAGCAACTTTTAAAAATTTCGTACAACCCTTGTTTTTTTATTTCTTGTGTTATAACGGTTATTATGTTCTTTTCTATATCTATTCCAAAATATCAAAACAACTTCCAATAGTTGCTACTAGTGAAACCAACAAAGGAAAGGTATATATTCATCATATTATTATTCCATTTGATTTACACATTTTTAACATCAACGATTTTTATATATAAAAAAATTGTATAAATACATTGATTGAATTCAGGGTTACTTCCAACTTTTCTTCAACTGCTTTGAGAAACTACTTGCGTATCTGAAGGTTAAGAAGATGGTGGTTCTAGCTGCTGAGGATGTTGAATCCATGTGGATTCAGAAATTTGGTTTTGAAAAAGTAACTCAGCTCAGGTATTATTATTATTATTATTATTAAGTGGTTTCTTAATTCTTATTATAATGTTTCAGTCATTTTCATTATTACAGATAACTTATATATATATATATATATATATATATATATATATATATATATATATATATATATGTGTGTGTGTGTGTACAACAGAATTGACATCAATTGCAGCATTTCAAGGAACATGTTTGTTAGAAAAGGAGGTGTTGGGGCCTCAAGGTGGAGTCACTTTTCAAGATGGTTTCCGTTTCAGTCTTTCCTATGCAGAAGTAAATTAAGAAATGAATGAATGAGTGAATAATAATAACCTTTTGGTAGATTTGTGTTCTATTAATGGTTAAAACTACAAACATCCATCTTGGGAAGATGGAAGTTTTTACTTTTTATGTTATATGCTTATAAATGGTTTGTGGTATGTAGAATTTTGAAACACGTTTGGTTTTGTTATGACTTATGAATGTGTGTTGACATTTAGACCCATGCTTTCTTTCTTATGTCTTAATTTAGAATGAAATATTAATCATCTTCGAAAAAATATATAAAAAATATCCTTTATTTCGGTTTCAGAAAAAAAAGACACTCTTTGGCTCTCATCCTTTGAGAATCATAAAGATCGTTTTCAAGTTTGTATTTGCTCATTTGGAATCTAAGTTCTTCTACTTCATTTTTATTTACTATATTTATTTTTATTTAATATTAATATTTTTACCTCTTATTTTTTTATATTATTCCTTAAGTCTCAATGAGCTATATCCCCTAGGCAAAGTGCAACATGCATGAAGGAGTTAGACGCTTCTTTTACTCTTTTCACTAACACAATTGGATCATCTGGGACTTGAATTATTAGATTTCTTTTCGGGAACTATTCAATTCATTCTTCCCGAATGCAACATACAACTCTTCATTGTAATGCACTCTGCAAGTGTGATTATCTCCCGTTCTTAACTTAGTATCGCATATCTTTGTGAAATAACTCTGATAAAAAGAAAAAAAAAAGCCTTAATAAACCCTCTTGGCATAACCCTAGACATTTTAGACCATTTTTCGAAGTTGTTTTGATATTTTAGAATTGATATAGAAAAGAACAAATTAACCATTACAACACAAGAAAGAAAAAAACAGGGTTGCACGAAATTTTTAAAAGTTGCACTACTAGACAAAAAAAAACTCATTTTCTACTGTAGTTTCCACCACAAAGTTCGTCACTAAACAAATGTAAATTGAATTTTCACTTATCGAACTTTGTGACAAATTTCCAATAGATTTGTGAAAGATCTACAAATTTTTACACTTCTATTGGACGAAATCGAGGGGTAACACGTGCCATCCCAAGACACATGATATGCCCGCCCCTGCCCTATGAGCACCAACATAATTTGTAAATGATTTACAAAAAAAATGTCAATTGGCATTTAGAAATGGTAGAACATAAAAACCTAAACACAAGTTTTAGTCAAAGAAGAAAAATAAAGTAGGATCACGTTCATTAGATTATGAGATGAAAACGAGCTTAGAAAAATCAAGAGTGCAAATTTCCAATATCAGTTGAAAGTTCAACAAATTGAAGGAGAAAAGAACGAACGCGAGAAGAAACTTCATGCTTTAGAAGAAGATTTAAGACTTCTGTCAACAAAATCAGGGAGTAAAATGGTAAATAATTAAACAAAAAATAGATTTTGATTTACTCACCAACCAACTGTTTTTGTATTTTTACCATCAATCTTTATTGTTGTTATCTTTTATATCGTCTGGATTTCAGGGTGTTCATGAGACTTATTCTCAAGAAGACATTGAAAATGTAGAAAAAATACAGATGCATGAAGCATAGCTTGATGAGACTCTTGATGCACATATTAAGTATAGAGCTTAAGAGCTTAGTATGTTGACAAAACTAGTCAACCTTTGACTTTTAGTAGTCAAAGGTCAACTGGTTTTCACAATTATAGTAAGTTGATGAAAGCTATAAAGATTACACTTATGCACAACTAGTTATCATAGTTGTAGCTTTTAACTAGTCTGCAATCCACCGTCTGGCCACAATGGGGTCCTTTGCCCCATGGAAATCCGGCGCACCACTGCCCCTGAAGTCCTTAAAGGACAGTGTGCGTGATCCCGACTGGCTGGTCGCCATGTCGCTCATGAACGCCCAGAGGCGATCCTCCATTAGCTCTACAATCTCTTCCTTGATCGACCCAAAGATGACCGGGGTCGCATCAAGGATGCCTCTAGTGATCTCGGACGCGATCAACTTGCATAGCCTCTCATCCACTGGTTCGGAACCTGAGCCCGAACCCGATCCCTCTCCTGAACTGCCAACTGCTGACCTCGAACGTAGTACCACCATTCTGCAATACATAATGACAACCGTCAGTGATACTGATACATCTAGAGGGATCACACCAATCACAAGTTCCTTGGTCTTGCCTCAGCCTTCCTCGTTTCAAGTATAGATCCCCTGCTTTCAGTAGTACGGGCCCATACTACCTTCCACATCTATCCGTACTTTCCTCAAGAACCGCCTCGACTCCACTAAGTCCCTTCTACTAGTACTGATCTCTGCTACTCTCATCCTAGGCTTGCCCTAGGGAAATCTCTGACTCTACCCAAACCAGTCCTCAGCTGCTGAAGGCCTCCTCGTAATGCCAATTAGTCATCACCTGAATACCATCACATGTGACGAGGCTCAGATAATCCTTCGAGTAAAAGACTCGTCCCTACAACGGTTAGACTCAGACAAAAGCTGCACAATATGGCCAAATCCAGCACTCTGAGATTATTCAACCCTGATCACATGTGATGTGACGTATCCACCTAATGGCTAACTCCCATCACTCAGAGTCACACATAGCACAAAGCGTGCAACATTCAGACAAAGGGAACGATCTCAAGCAATCCTATCCTCATAACAGGAAACTGTACTAGCATACAATGCTAAGCTCATACTATCAGGTATAACCTAAACAGGCTATCCTACTGCTGTCTACTCAATACTAGCATGCAATTCTCATAAGCTGAAACACATAAATCAGGCACATAAGGCATCATTTATAGATCCTTAGTCCTATTCTAGCATGTTGTTCTACTGAAGCTGATAAACATAACATAAACTTGTATAGGTACTTTGGGGAATACTTACTTGAGCTCGGCCGGTCACGCACATCACACACTTCGTTCTTTCTCAAAACTCCTTTAACTTATCTTTTAGAAAACCATTTTCTTGTAAAAAGCTTTTAATCCCTCGATTATAGTCCAGACACCTCCGAGGGTGTGTCCGAATCCCTCAAACCAGGGCTCTGATACCAACTTGTAACATCCCAAATTTCGAGTCCAAAAATTTCATTTTAATTAACTGATTATAAAAGCATTCATAAGAAAACCACATAAAATATATCATTCCGTAAATCAGTATATCATGTCTGAAAACCCAAGTCATAAAATAGCATCATGTCAGAGTACAATCCTAGAATATCTCAAGTGCGGAAAATCAATGCGAGTTTGTATGATGTGCTGCTACCGCGCCAGCTCCTTCCCCTTCCCTGAAGAGGTATCTGAAACCAAAACTATAAACTGTAAGCGCGAAGCTTAGTGAGTTTCCCCCATCGTACCACATACCATACAATCATATAGCATACATAATGTCGGGCAATTCTGGGGTGCCCGACCTACCCGGTACGACCATTCTGGGGTGCCGACCTACCCGTGTCAAGCCATTCTGGGGTGCTGACCTACCCATGTCAAGCCGCTCTTGGGTGCTGACCTACCCATCGGTCCTAACAACCGAACCTCGGGGACTATTCCACCCCTTACTGCTACTATCACATATATCATAACACAAACATAATATCAGACATATCTGGGGTGTCTGAACTACCCTTCGGTCTTAACAACCGAACTTGGGGACTATTCCCTTCCTACTACCACTAACACATATAACATATCATGCCAGCATATCAACATATCATCACATACTGTCAGACATATCTGGGGTGCCTGACCTACCCTTCGGTCCTAACAACTGAACTCTACTACTATCACATATAACATATCATGCTAGCATATAACATATCAGGTAGCAGCAAACCTGTATGATATCACAAAGACAATCATCCAACATATAACTCCTACTGGTGGGCCGACATTGTGGCCGTAGACCCACCGCTACTGGAAGGTAACTCACCTCGTACGAGTAGCTGCTGATAATCTGTGCGGGAAATCTCTGTCTGCTGCTGCTCCGGAAATCCTCCGACTATAATCCCCACAAAACACTCAGTCAGAATCTGATATCTACTCTTAGGGTAAAATAGTCATTTTACCCTGACCAAGTCCAAGTCAAAGTCAACTTCCAGTTGACCTGACTCGCCGAGTTGGGCCGTCAACTTGTCGAGTCCCTAACCTTTTAACTATCCTCATTCACGTCTCTACTCGTCGAGTTTAGAAATGACTCGACGAGTTCTCCTTCTATACGAGCATCGAATGAACCTTCATCCGACTCGTCGAGTTGTATGAACAACTCGTCGAGTTCATCCTCATCCTAAGAATCAGTCCTGTTCTCGACTCGCCGAGTTGTATGAACAACTCGTCGAGTTCATCTTCAAGAGTTGGGAGATTGCCTTGGACTCGCCGAGTCTGTTCATGCACTCGCCGAGTCCTATGAACTCCAGGACTATGACTTAGCCCAATACGTTGGATCACTCCCCTGGACCCTCTAAAACCTTTCCAGCACTCCACTGGGTCTCTTGACCCATAACAGAAAAGGGGATCTAACCTCGGACTCGCCGAGTCCCAAGAACAACTCGCCGATTTGCTACTGTCCAAGTCTTATTTCTTCGATTTCTGGTTTACAACTCTTGTCCAAATGGTAGATCTAGGTCCCTAAACTCGATCTAGCACGTAAAGTTACGAACTTTACGTGCATGCATGGGACTTTGAGCCTAAAAGGCTCTAAAAGAGGCTCTTGAGTTGCATGGGGGCTTCCATGGGTTGGTTACCAAAAATGGCTTCCTTGTAACTCCTTCATGGACCTAGATCCGAAGCCTCAACCCCCAACCATGCTTTCAATCATGGTTGGTTACCAAAAATGGCTTATAAAAGCCTAAATCTCCCCAAAGAGGGATCTAACAAATGAACAAGCAAGGTATCGACTTTATACCTTCTGGGAACTGC